CAGAAATACTTTAATAATCCCAGGGAGAAATGACTTTCTTAACATGACTCCATCTGTAATAGAGTGACTATAAGACCAGTTTGATAAAACACAATTTCACACAATATATATAATTAGGGGGTCCCCGCTCTATCTCGCAATCAGTTTGGGGGTCCTTGGCTTCGAAAACTTGGAAGACCCCTGCTGTACAGTATTTAGCATTCTGAGTATATGTGTTGTTCCCCTTTATGTTCTTACCTTATATGTACACTTACCTTGGGTTTCTTGAAAAGTGCTTTAAATAAAATTATTATTAAAAAAAGCTTCACAATTTAAAACCTAAATGCAGCACTGTAAACAGAATTCAATTTTAAAATGTCACGTTCTACCCGCTAGTTTGACTGGGACCAAAAACAAAACTACCAGACTTGTATAGCTGGACTTGTTACTTAGAAAATTTGTATAATCCTCTTGTCATTTTACGGTTTGTCTTTACTTATTGTCAACAATTTAAACCTCTAAGCAAACTATCCTCTACCTCTTAATGTGGGTCAAGTCACAATTTACAACCGGCAGTTTTATTTAATGGTAACAGAACAAATGAAAGGACTCCATTGTCTCACCATCCTGATTTATAGGAGTTTGAAAACTAAATTAAACCAGGGGAAACTAGGCAAGGCAAGGCAAATTTATTTGTATAGCACAATTCACTACAAAGACAATGCAAAGTGCTTTACGTGAATAAAATATAGGAAAATAAAACAGAATCAAAGAAAGTAGGGGAAAAAAATAAATAAAAAAAATGCAGAAACAAAAAAGAACATTAAAAATAGTTAGACTAAAGAAAATAAAAAAAGTTGAATTAATGATGTTTCAGTTAAACTGTTTTACTAGAACAGTCGAAGGCAATCCCAAAAAAAATTGTTTTTAGGCTTGATTTAAAGGAACTTTCCGCACTTTTACAGTTTTCTGGATGTTTGTTCCAGATAAGTGGAGCATAGGAACTAAATGCTGCTTCTCTAAAATGCTTCCACTTGAGGAGTTCTGGATAGAGCATAATAACAGACACATTTTGTTATATAGTTACTGCTCTAATTTGGTTGCTCTGTCAGCTAAAGGATTTTTTATTTTTTTTTTACAGTATCTATATTCCAAATAACAATTAATCGATTGCTAAATTAGTTGATGATTATGCAATTATCGATTAATCACAATTAATTTGATTTGTTGTTTCAGACAAAAAGGAGATCCAAACATATTGACTGCTACAGCTCTCACACTGTTGGTGACAGAATCTCTGTCTGCATCTCCAGCAGTACAACAGTTCACCAGCAGCCATTTCAGCTTCATTAATCCTGATTGATGAGGGGCTTATTTAGCTCAAAGTGAAAAATATCAAAACAATAACATTCGTATTCCCTGTTGACTGTTTTTTTTTTTTTTTTTAACATAACAGGCAAATACACATAGAAGACAGGATTGAGTCACTCAAAGCCTTTTCTAATCTTTTAGATTCACGTGTTATAAAGGCCTAGTCAAAGAGTCAGATCCAAAATACAAATGATAGTATCTGACTTCAAAACTGCTGTTCAGAAATGTTTAATTCATCCAATCGATTTGACTAAAAGTTAATTATACTTTAAGCAAAGAGAACAAATATAGAAAAAATAAAAATCAGTCTTTACTGTACAAAACCGCTGCAGACATACCTAAAAATGGATGCAGCTGTAAATGCAGCAACAGAAGCTACAACGTTTTGACATGTGGAGGCTGAACACGAATGGAGGCAGACTTTTTGGACACTTTCAGAAAAGCCAAAAGCTACAATATCTATAGCACATCAAAAAAACACAAGGATTTGACATATAAATAATATAGCTTTATGATGACTTTTAAACTAAAGTGACCTTGATACAAAAAGACAAAATAAAAATTTAAAATTGATATAAAGATAAAGATGTATCAGCCAAAGTAAGTAAATCAACAAAATTAGAGTAAATAAGACTTCATTAAAGAGTATTAGATAACCAAATAAACTTAGGAGCAAATCTTTCCACCTGTACCCACAGATGAGAAGCCAATAGACTTACACTCAAATAAACATACTTTCACCATTCTCTTTTAAACTTGGGTATTTTATCAGGTATTGACCTCAAGAATATGTACACATTATAAACATTGTATCAGTATTAAAAATAAATAAAAACTACAAAGAACATCCTAAACATGAACAGCTAAAAGGAAACCAGACTTCAGACTCCTAACCTGCATTACGCAGGTTAAAATCATCAAATGAGTCATGACATCTGCAGGTTCACATCTACATTCCTTCTCCCTCGGTATCCTGTCCTTTTTTTTTTTGTCTCGTTCTGACTTAAAGTAGAGGAGACAGCATATTTAAACTTGTTTTTGTTTCCAAAACTCGGTCTGGGCTCTTAGGCTGGATAGAGGGAATTAGCGCTGGGGGCATTTACCTGAAATAGCTTTTTAAATAAAACATGCCAGTGCTTGAGTGAGCTGGAGGACAAAACGAGCCCATCCAACTCAGCATACAGTACACCACTTGCAGGTCTATAACATTATTCTTATTACCGTTGCCAAGGAGGTTATGTTTTAGGAGAGTTTGTGTTTGCATCTCTGTCTGTGTACAGGATAACTTCAAAAGGTAAGAACAGATTTTGACAAAAATTTTTCTACCAGAGGCTCGTCTCGGTTCAAGGAACAATTCATTAAAATTTCAGGATGGCCCAAATAAATATATACATAAAATAAAAATAAAAAAGAAGCTTCTACATAGATGCATGCACAGACAACTTTAATTTCTATCCATATTAATGCATATATAATTAAGCATAGATATATACATACATTTTTGTTATTGTATGTATGCCTAACCCCGACATTACCTGCTCCCAATTTAGAGCAGCTAACTAGACCACTTTACCTAACCCTAAAGTCACAAGGCAATCCAGGCCCTAACCCTAAACCATTTACCACGCCTAATACACCTGCTCCCAATTTAGAACAACTAACCTGACCATTTAACTTACCCCAAAAGTCACATGACATCCAGGCCCTAACCAATGTATCACAACCAATACACCTGTTCCCTATTTAGAACAACTAACCACACCATTTTCCTTAATCCCTTACCATGATTCCTCTTTTATTTAACCTTAAATTAAGGGACTTAAAAGATGACCCAAGGTCTCACCCTTTATGATTAGTTTAGTTTAGTTTTATTAGGATCCCCATTAGCTGCCAAAAAAATGAAGTGTTACCTTGACTACCTTACCATCACAAATTACTACCGATCTTAAAGACAGTTGACTTAATCCCTGACTCTAAATCCTCTAAACCTGTAT